CCGGCATCGTACAGATCCGCGTACAGATATAGCTAGATGTGTACGTACGTACGTGTACGCACTGTACTGTGCAGAAAAAGAGGAGTACTTTGTGCATAATTTTTTTTTAAAAATAATGATTATTGCGAATAAAAAATGTTCATTGGTTTGATCGATCATTGCATGCATGATATCGATATGGGGAAAGCTGCAAAATATTATCACTCATTCTCAAAATGAAAACATAACATTGTGAGTCTGAACATGTGTTTGAGAGGGATAGTATTGAATTGTTGTTTTCGGAGACTTTGTGCGAGTTGTTCAAGTTCATCCTCTTCTTCTGCATCCGTCGCGGTAGCCTGTTATGCAACGCCAGTAGCACTAGCAGTGCCTGATGTCGGAACACTGAAGAAACGCGCAGTAGGCCAGTAGCTGGGGCGGCAAAAAGCTTTATTGAGAAGCTGCATTCAAGCAGCATTTGCCTCCTTTGTTTTGAATCGGACGAAGGTAGTTATGGCGGACATAAGGTTCCGAATTGGCAATGACCTGCACCGCGATGACAGGCGTAGCAATGGCGACAGAGATGACAGTGGTTATGGTCGCCAGAGCCGCGACTACGATGAGGACGTAGACAACAACAGCTCACGTCGCACGGAACAGGACTACAGGCGAGATGAGGAGCCTCCTCGCGAGGAGAACGGCTTCCGTCGAGACTACCTGGAGAAGTTCGGAACCGTGGCTCGAGAACGTCAGCGTGTAGAGGATTACAGGCGCTGGGAAATGAGCCAGCTGCTGTACGGTCCGGCTGGCAAGCCATCACGCGCTCGCAAGACGCCACAGGTCATGCACAGTAAACAGTTTGAGGTGGTGATGCGGCACATATGCGAGTTGTATGATATAGAGTATGGGCGCATCCGGGAGCTGGTGCCCGAGTCCAAGCGCATTGCGTCGGTGCACGCCAAGGGCTGCTTCATCTGCCGCTTGTGCCGGCACACCTGGGCGTCCGAAATGGCGTGGGTGGACATTGACCTGTGGGAGGGCTGCATCTGCTGCTACTACCAGCAGAAGTGCATGCACTGCTGCGAGGAGAAAGAGAGTGCCGCCATCCCCATGTTCCTGGAGACGCAGCAGCGACGGCTGGTTTGTCGCAGCTTCCTGCGCTCGGGCCTCATTCGCCTGGCGACGCTCAGCCTCAAGGTGTTCCTGGCCGGCCCGCAGCGGCCGAAAAGCACGACAAGCAAGCCGCATCTGGGACTACTGTGCGGTAAGTGTGGTTATGATAACTGCGACCTGCCGCCGTGCAGTGCGGCCGACGAGGGGAAGGCCGACAAAGCGGACAAGAAGCTGGCGGCGCTCTACGACGACATGCGCGACAAAGCCACTTCGGACCCAAAGCAGGAGACGAGCGGCGAGACCATCACGATTTCCAACGCGGCGCAGTCCGCAGACGGCGGCGGGGACTGCGGGCACGGCTGCTCGCACGGCAAGGCCGAGACGACGTTACGGCGGCCAAAGTTTGAGTCGGCCGGCCACAAGCGGTCGCACTTCAAAACAATCTCGGCGCCAAGCAAAAGCACTGGCAAGGCACGCGTGTCCGTACACGACCGCCTCGGACCCCTCAAATCACCCCATAACAGTAATAATAGCAAAATTAGTAATCACGCTAGCAATGCTGCTAACGAGAGCAGCACGGGTGATGGGCCAGCGGCGAAACGTCCTCGCAAACCAATCACAATGGACGGTCTCTCGCCGAGCCCCGACAAGGACCAGTACGTGTCCTCTTTGCCGGACGTGAAGCCTGCCGCCGCCACCAACGGGTCGCGCGGCCGCCGACAGAAGTCTCTGCTGCTGTCGCACCTGGAGCGTGCCGCGGCCAAGTCGCGCATGACCGGCCACCGCGCCGACGACGAGGAGAGCAACAGCCGCAATCTGGACGACGGAGACGAGCCAATGGACGTGGACTCCGGCCACCGTCGGTCGATCAAGCAGGAGAAGGCGTGGCGGCAGTTCTCCTCCGGCGCTCCCGGCGAGCACGACGTGCCATCGGAGAGGTTGCCTGCGCGCACCGAAGAGGAATGGCAGCAACATTGTCTAGTCCGCGTGGAAGATGCTGACGGCGAAGTGGAGTACATGTACACAGTTAATGTGGACGGCAATCCGTTCGGCAGCAACGACAACAACACGGCGACATCATCAGCGACGGCGACGTCACAGCTAGAGCAGACAATGTCAGCGTCGGTGGCGGTGGCAGCCGCCAGCAGCGCGACGACGCCGCCGACGGCCGGTAGTGCTGCAATAGCTGGCGCGGCTGAGCATGTGGTGGTGGGCCTGGACGGCCAGCCGTTGACCATCAAGCGGGAGAAGGACGATCCGGCGTACTACGTCCACATGGCCGGCGACAAGCCGGTGCAGATCAAACAGGAGCTGCCCTGGATGCACGACGGCACCACGCCCTGGAAGGACCCGGCGCAGGCCATCACCGAAGAGGAGAACAGCGACGGCATGTACCTGGTGGAAGATGCGGACGGCGACGTCGAGTACTTGTACACTAAGTATGCCGAGCCGGCGAAGGTCACAGTGGATGACGATGGTAACGCCAATGGTGGGCAAGATGACAGCGGAATGGCCGTTGCTGCAACTCCAACCAGCACCGAGGACATGCCAATGACAACAACAACAGCAACAACAACAGAGTCGAGTGCGACAGTGGCAGAGTCTGCGGCGTCTGCGGTGACACGTACGGCTGGGAGCTCACCACTTGCTCAGTCACCCGTGCCTGGCCACCGGCTGACAAGTCCCGCTGCCACTAGTCCTGCTGCTACTCATGCCGCCGCTCCACCTGCTCACAGCCCTGCCGTCCCAGCGGTAGTCAAGAAAGAGCCTGTATGGGACGATGACCTGGATGTCGATGTCCCAGACGATAATCTCCTCGACTACGACTTTGACGACAGTATTGTAGACCAGGCGTCGGCCAATAAGCAATCCAACGGCTGGTGATTTGACTTGCTCCGTGGCAACACTTCAGCAGGGGTAACGTAACGCGTGCACCGCTTTTGCCACTATTGTGTTCCACTCAGTGAGTGCTGTCCAGCTAGCAATCAGGCTTCGTGCAAACTTGGTTACCTGGTGTAACCAATGCCAGCAAAGTGCTAAAGTTGCGCAAATGCACACATATGTGTGTGTGTGAGCGTGTGCGCTGGTACACACAGCTCCAAAGAACTCACTTCCGCCGGTCTCTCTCTCTCTCCCTCTCCCTCTCTCTCTCTCTCTCTCTCTCTCTCTCTCTCTCTCTCTCTCTCTCTCTCTCTCTCTCTCCTCTCCCTCTCTCTCTCTCTCTCTCTCTCTCTCTCTCTCTCTCTCTCTCTCTCTCTCTCTCTCTCGTTGTTCTTCACCGGCGTTGTGACTGCATTATCGACTTGGAAACTTCCCGTGGCGTTTACAATGCCCGCAGCTACAGTATCACACCTTGGGGTCTTGATATGAGATGGATCCAACCAGTCTACAGTACATAATGTTGCTCAATAGTAATCTTGCGCCATGTCTCAGTCTGGACGCGATTTACTTCTCCGGTGCTAGTCTGTGTGCTGCCGCGATTACGTCTGCCGGTCTATTCCCATCCTGGCCGTGCTTGTGTGTGTGTGTGTGTGCGTGTGTGTGTGCACATGTGTGTGTGTGTGTGTGTGTGTGTGTGTGTGTGTGTGTGTGTGTGTGTGTGTGTGTGTGTGTGTGTGTGTGTGTGTGTGTGTGTGTGTGTGTGTATGTGTGTGTGTGTGTGTGTGTGTGTGTGTGTGTGTGTGTGTGTGTGTGTGTGTGTGTGTGTGTGTGTGTGTGTGTGTGTGTGTGTGTGTGTGTGTGTGTGTGTGTGTGTGTGTGTGTGTATACTCTCCTGACCCACCGATGACTCCTGGGGCTAATGCCGAATCTGTGTCCTGTTAGCCGCTTGCCAGAGACGTTTCTCCATTGTCAGTGTCTTGTGTTCGGGGTTTTCCTTTCCGTGTTGATAGCCATGCCCGTGTGTACATAGTGTCCTGTTTGCCTTTGTGTGCTGCGCCCTGGGGCGCTTGTTCTACTGACCTCGCGTACATCGCGCCGTGAGACCCGCATGCTGTATATCAATCGCCAGTGTGTCTTCTAGCTATCCAGCACTGTACTTTCACGCTGGCCCAGTCTAGGCCTTCGGTCCGTGCTTCCGACATAGGCACCACACGACTATCGTGTAACTTCATTTCTCGTAATGCTGCTGTGATCAATCGTGCCGCTTTCATTTCTCTTTTTTCTTTTCTCGGAAACTGGTCTTTCTTTCTATCTCTTTTTATAATGTGCATTCAAGTAGGTTTGTTTTTATCGTTAGTCTTGTAGCTGGAAGTTTCTCACCCAGCACAGTTGTCAGCTAGCTGGTGCGCCTGTTTTGTTGGAACGCTTTTTTTCGTTGATCGCGGCTCTCCTTCCTCTGGCCATGTGCATGCTTGGGGTAGCACTCAACTACCGTACCTGTTGTTTTGCCGTGCAATGCGGGGCGTATCAGTGCGTTTACGAATATGCAGATGTGTGTGTGTGTGTGTGCGTGTGTGTGTTCCCTGTGGTGTATTACTCAACTATTGTTACCCGTCGTTTTGATGTACACACCTAGACATCCGTACTCGAGCGATTAGAGCCCTCTCTCGAATAATGCCCCTGGCTTTGAGAGCGAATGAAAAATAAAGCCCTCTTTTGAGTAGTGCCCCCTCCAGCTCTCCGGGTTTGTACTCAGGCGGATGTGCACGTTTCGGTGTTGTTCTGCTGATCTTGTCCATGCAACCACCCTGGTGTGTTCGGGATCAAGATCGCAACTACTAGTATTCTTCCGTGTTTCTGTTGAATCATGATAGTTTATCCGGGGCACTACGACTCGTACCGATACTCACGCCAGTACGATTCTGCTGTTTCTCAGGTTCATTATTATCGGCAGGGAGCCATACGACTCCCTGGTGTCCGGTGTGGATGGCTCATACCAGGGAGTACAGTGTAGCAACATACCGGTATTTTACATTTTTACTGCTCTCTGGCTCATACCCATACAAACAGGGAGCTTATACTCTTGCTGAAGCAGCACTAGAAAGCCAAACGTTTTTTTTTAATACTCCCTACTCTTTCCCATGCCCTGAATACCTGCAACAGATGGGCTGGTGAAAGTGCGATGCCAGTCTGGACTGAAGTGCAAAGGGATGTTCCATGTCAAAAATCCTCACAGAAAATGCTATACACTACAGTCGAATCTATTGAAAATCATGATAAAACTTTGTATTCGGCTAGAATATGTCATTCTTCATTTCGAGATGTCACAAGCAAGGCTTCTATAGATAGTATAGTACTTGTAGTGGTACTTGTACTTCATGTATGGCACATTATTCCCACTCCTTGGCTCAGGCCAGCTGAGCAAGGACAAAAGATAAAAAGAAATTCCAGAAAGTAAAAAAAATCAGGGAATGTCGGTGACAAGACAACAACGGAGTGTTCACCGGTACGCGGTGCCACCGTGCTAATCAGGCAGTAATAAAATACCGGTATTTCACTACTCCCTGGTGCTAATCAAGTACTTGGCACTCCGGAGAAGTTCTTGGCAATGAGCCGCAGCTGATCGCCGACACCAGCATGCGGTCCGGAGTCGCAGAACTCGGCGCCCAGATTGCGATAGGTGATTGCGACACGTCGTGACAGGACATGTTGGCGACGGACAGCGTGCAGCCAGCGGTGACGAGCGTCGCCCTCGACGACGAGGAGCGAATGGCGCGGCATGGGCACCTCCACGGTGCACACAGAGCGCGTACTCGCCGAGTGGTTGTGCGAAGTGTCACGGTCACGGCTTCTACCGCCTGCTGCTGCTTGAGCTGTCGATCCACCAGTTACAGATTTCGGTGCAGGCTTTGTCAGCAGTGCGTCGCTTTCAGCAGACTCAGCATCCGATCTGTATGACGAAGCTGCCAGTTGCAATAGTGGCCCAGGTTTCTCTTGGAGCGGCCCACGGGAATCACTATCGGTTGTTTGATGATAGCACAATTCCGCACTAGTCTCTTGTCCGTTGCTCCCACCAGCAGGAATGCCCGTACTGCTGCTGCTGCTGGGACTGGAAGCATTGCAGCAGCGCGGCACAGGATCACGGCAACAGGGATCCGCAGCATCGCGCGTGCTAGCCGGCCGTCCACAGCAGGATCTCGCCGCGTCCCGTGTCTCGAGAGCATCGCGGCAGGACGCGTACGCGACGGGAAAGTCTCGCAGCACGTCCAGGTCCTTCTCCTCCAGGGTGAACGTCAGAACGGAGTCGGAGAGCAGATTCACGGTGACCAGTTGTTCTCCCCACAGCCACTGGTCGTCGCGATGCGGATCAATGGCTGAACCGCGCTGTGGGTCGTAGTCCAAGTGACACTGTTCAACAGGTTCAAAACTGCTCAGCCCATAGCCACCATCAAGAGCAGCAGCGTTGGCCGGGCTGTCCGTACCGTGCATGCGCCGAAGAAGTGCGTCGCTGAACGCCGGCAGTCCGCAGAAGCTGCCCACCTTGACGCGGCGCTTCTTGAAGTTCGGCCGAGGCCCGTAGTCCTGCCGGCGTGCAGTAAAGTATGTAAACACGTGCACACACACACACACGCGCGTGCACACACACACACACAGTCATAAGAAGTGGCCTGCCTCTTCTGTCCCCGGGGAAAATTGCGGAAAAAAATCGCAAAAAACGCGGGGGAAAACGCGGCATAATATGGCATAATTTGCGGTGAATTTGCGGTAAATATGCGGTAAATATGCGGTGAATACTATTGATGTGCGGCAATTTTCAGTGAGTGTGTAGTGAAATCAATCAGTTACAAGTCTCTGGTGTAAGCACTCGTCATATTTGAGTAAAAAGCCGCCACGATGAGACGTTGCTGACCGGACAGTGCACTGTGTGTACGTGTAGTGCAACAAAAAAGTTCAAAAAACGCGGGGAATATCGCGGAAAACGCGGTCTTTTAAACAATCGCAAAAAAACGCGGAAAAAAACGCGGCCGCGGAATTGCAATTTTCCCCGGGGACAGCCTCTTGCACATGTTTGCTTACTTTCCCCCAAACTGACTTGAGTCCACTGGTCACTAGCTGCCTTGACCTGGGATTGGCAAGGGTTGGCAGGTATGGGCAAGCCGACTGCAAAACTTTCTTGCCATGCACAATTCTCTCCTCATAATTCTCACCACACCATGCGCAACATCGACTCATGCTCCTGTCCAGTGCTCATGAAACTAGTCGTGCTGGAAATGCAGCGTCATTGAAAGTTGATATCCCTAGTGACGTTTGGGCTGGGAGAGTTGTTTTCTTATAAATATAAATATTTCCCACCTGTGACCCGGTGTTCTTTTTCCAAACGGGTCCAAGTACCCCCCCCCCAACTGGGTCGCTGACCCGGCTCTGAAGCAGACACTGTCACTGATGCTGTATGGCATGCTATCTACTATACTACTAGTACTATTTTGTGATGTACCTGTTTGTTACGACCAGATTGTGATGGCTTCCACGGGCTATTGTCTATACATTCCATAATGGATTGTTCTTCTTCTTCGCTGACAAACTGCGGATACACACGAACGCCGCGCAAGATCGCTTCAAACTCCGCATGCCTCCGACACGATTGGGTTTCTACATTCTCTCTGATTTCTGAGGCTGGAAACGTTCGCCAGCAATCAGCACAAAGCTGCAGCACCGGGCCTATGCTGTGCTCGCCAACGTGATCTCGGACATGAAGCTCCTTCTGAGCGCCAGAAGCCTCGCACAAGCCACACGAACGAACTCCTTTGCAGCCGCATGGCCGATCAACAGAGGGCCCAACTGATTCTTCTCCTAATTCCATTTCTGGAGAACAGTTATAATAATTCAAAAATCTGTTTGATAATTATTCTGATGATTTTCAATTTTTCATTCAAACATTTTTATGTCAAACGTCTTTGCGTGTTGAACTGGAATTGAAACGTGTTCGGGTGATTCTAGTCTAGAAACCGGGCAGAGTTTGAACAACGTCTCGATTTCAACCCAGGTTTCCTCGAAAATCCAGGTTGGTCCTGGCGCTCGTCATGTTTTCACGGTTTGATGAATGTAAAACATCACTGCGCTGCATCAGGCATCACAGTTTCTTTTGAGAGAGCAATCATTGAAGATTGCTTTTATTTTGCCTATTGGCATTGCTGTGTTGGCTGAAGCTTCCAGTTTGGTGAAGATACTTTTATTTGTAGTGAAGCAGAGAATTAGCATCCAACCATGGGTGTCCTGGAAAAGATAGCGGAAATCGAGTCCGAAGTAAGTGCAGTTCGTCCCCTGAGTTGGTTATCGAGTACGCACGCAGGCCAACCATGATTGCAATTTCCCTGTTCATAGATGGCCCGGACCCAGCGAAACAAAGCAACTGCTCATCATTTGGGTCTGCTGAAAGCCCGTTTGGCTAAGCTGCGTCGTGAGCTTCTCACTCCGAAAAGTGGAGGAGGTGGACCGGGAGAAGGTGAGTGTTTTCGAAATAATTATTTCACAAAAAGTTGGTACAAATTATTCTCAGTGATGACAATTTTAATTCCTAGCAATTCAAGCCTGTTGTTACAGTGTTGTGTTGCTCCGAGAGGTATACAACTATACATGTACCGGTGCTAGTTCTTCCATGCTCAATCATGTAAATGTCTTCGTGCAGTGTGAACTCGGTGCATTTCGTCGTGCTGAGTATTATGGCTTGCATCTTGAGGACTATTTACTAGAATTTAGTTTAACTGCTCATTACTATAGCTTGTTACTGGCTTATGTCCTCTTGGTACAATCATGATCTTGCACTTGCTCCTAGTAACGTTCAAGTGTACTGTACCGTCGTACTGTCTTGTATGAAAGCCCACGTATCTCCAAGAAGCCTGTTTTGATTTCAAGATGGGCGCGTGCCACCTTCACGTATGCCTGGTTTTAGTGTTGGCTTGCGTTGAACCCTGGCACTGACATCGGCTTCTAGAAATCTGCAGAAAATAAGCCAGCGGCCCTTGTACACAACATCACGATAGCATTAGATAAACCTTGTATTGTTTAAACACGCTTTTAGTTTGACAGCATATTTATACAAGGTGGTGGCACTCTACCAACTGTGGATGGTTGTAGTGAGGGACACTGTTTCCAAGCACAGTGTTCCACCACCTGGTATTAATATGCTGTCAAACTAAAAGCGTGTACATTACGATATGTGAAGTGGTATGGTTTACATCATTGTACGAGCAGAACTTCTAGTCTAGTGTACTCATTGAGCAGAAATACTTGCATGCATATTTAGTTCATCTGAAGGGTTTTCTGGTGCATTTCAATTCTGAGCTAGCAGCAATTTGCCTAGCCTGCCGATGGGTTTCATCCCAAAGGTTTTGATGGAGCGAACTACCCTTCAGATTTGGACAATATCATTCACTGGATAATTAATAGTGTGGACTACATCTTCTGCTTGTTCAGTATATTGCAAGGGAAATGCATGTAGTATTTAGCTTATCTACACTCCTCTCTTGGTCTGTCTCTCTCTTAAAACCTTCCAAGTTGGAAGGCTGTTGGAGTGCGCATCTTAGATGTGCTAGAGCCGATTGCCAGGTAGGTGTAGAACGTCAGTACCGTTGGTCAGTCTCATGCAATGTTATCGCATGAGCTGATTGTAAAGTAACTGGTGGTGCTAGTGGATATTATAGCATAACTGGTAGGTCTTTGGTCCTCTTTTCTTCTTTTAAACTTTAATAATATAGAAGTATTCTAATACTGTCAACCATGGTGTGTGTGGTATGCTATTCTTGCAGGATTCGACGTAGCAAAGACCGGTGACGCCCGTATCGGCTTCGTTGGTTTCCCGTCGGTGGGAAAGTCCACGCTACTGACGAACTTGGCGGGAGTTTATTCAGAGGTTGCTGCATACGAGTTCACAACTCTGACGACTGTGCCAGGTCTGTGTGCTGTTTTCATATAGGCAAGCAGTATTGTTTCAGTGAACACGATACACCTTATATGCAGGTAGTTTATGTAAGCATTCTTTGCACTAAACAGTTTCCTCTGAGACAAAAATGCGATAATACTCATAAAAAGGACACACTTCAGGCTCATTATGAACATCTTGAAAGTTTTCTTTACCGTACTACTGATTTACTTTCCCAATGTGGGTTGCGGTAAAAGTCATGTGATAGTTTCCGTAATAATTATAATTTTTCATGATCATATGACCAAGATGGTAAACCATCTGAGTTCTTCATATGACCAAGGAATGCCTTTTATGGAGCTCACACATCTGCTTTTTCTTCTCTGCCTTTGCCATATCTAGGTGTTATTCGATACAAAGGCGCCAAAGTCCAGGTAAAGCATAGCACTTTGTTTCTCTCCCTCTCTCTCTTTCTCTCTCTTTCCCTCTCTCTCCTCTCTCTCTCCTCTCTCTCTCCTCTCTCTCTCTCTCTCTCTCTCTCTCTCTCTCTCTCTCTCTCTCTCTCTCTCTCTCTCTCTCTCTCTCTTTCTCTCTCTCTCTCACTCTCTCTCACACACACACACACTCACTCACGCACGCGCACACACCATGTCTACACTCGTCGCAAGAGAAGCATGCAGATGTGCAAATGCACTGGATGTGCACCCACCGATTTTCTCTTTATAGCAATGATAGCGGATCTGATTCTGATTGAAACAGATCAAGACAAGCGCCAGATAACTGTCTAATCCACACAACTGGCGAAGCGAGCTGGCGAAGCCGTGTGAATCAACCCCCCAATGCACACCTGGTCTACGCCACACAGAGTACATCGGAATAGGACCCAATAACTCCATTTCACACACACACACACGTGCATACACATTTTTTGGCCATCTATACACCCAGCCATTTATCGTAAATTTATCTTCGTCTCCAGTACCTATTCTCGCTCTTGTGGCTCTAAATCATGCCCTTTCGTCTTCTCTATCTGTCCCTTTTTTCCCTTAGCTTTTGGATTTGCCTGGTATCATTGAAGGAGCTAAGGACGGCAAGGGACGTGGTCGTCAAGTCATTGCAGGTGAGGCAAGATGTGTTGCCTGTTTGGACACTGGCTGCTGTCGGCATTGCTGCTAAGATGTGTTGCCTGTTTGGACACTGGCTGCTCTCAGCATTGCTGCTAAGATATGTTGCCTGTTTGGACACTGGCTGCTGTCGGCATTGCTGCTAAGATGTGTTGCCTGTTTGGACACTGGCTGCTGTCGGCATTGCTGCTAAGATGTTTTGCCTGTTTGGACACTGGCTGCTGTCGGCATTGCTGCTAAGATGTGTTGCCTGTTTGGACACTGGCTGCTGTCGGCATTGCTGCTAAGATGTGTTGCCTGTTTGGACACTGGCTGCTGTCGGCATTGCTGCTAATTACAGTTTCTTACATGACACGTGATCGTTGGCGGGGCCATGGCCAATAGGCGATCTTCCCGCCGCGGGCATAATCAGGCCATCAGGACCGTTTGACGTCATTTCGGGAATGTTCGGACCGTTTGACGTCATTTCGAGAATAATTTTTTCGACCTTCGACCTTTGACCTTCCCTAATATGTTGCTTCGCGCTGTAAGAAATCAAATCAAGCACGCTCTGTCTGTCATGATGGCTGAATCTTGCCCTTGCCTGCAGCCCTCGGGCCTACGGCCCTTGGGCTGCAGGCTCAGGCAAGATTCAGCCATCATGACCTCCTGAGCGTGCTTGATTACATACATACAGTGTAAACCGGTCCATACTCGCGTCACTAAAATTCCCCAATCTCTCAGAACCAGCGAGTTTGCGATGGCAGCTGTTCGCGGAGCACTGTGGCCACACGTACGCACACCCTGTTGAAGTTTGATTTCACGATGGTTAATATTCGCGTTGCGTTCTTCTCGCAAAATTAGCAAACACCAATACGCCGCCAACATTAGACAGTGTACAGTAGTGCTTTTCGTAGTATCGTCTCTCCGTATTGTCTTTCTCTCTCTTTCTCTCATCTGTATCATATATGCGCATGCTCGTAAATAAATCAGTCCTTGTCTTGTCCCGCAATGGACTCCTGCGTGGCTTGGAGATCCAACATAGCATGGTGGGAGTGGTTGGAGGCATTGCTGCTGTTGGCGTTGTTCTTGTCCTTCCCCGCTCTGGTTGCGCAGGCTGGTTTTGTTCATCGGGACATCCATGTACTAGTAGTACTACTCTGCCATGTACTGGCCTCATCGCGTTTGAAAGCTCTGTGTGTGTGTGTGTGTGTGTGTGTGCGCGCGCGCGTGTGTGTTTTTGGGTGTGACTGTGTGTGTGCGTGTATGTGTGGGTGTGTGCGTGTATGTGGGTGTGTGTGTGGGGGGGGGGGGGGGCATGATAGTAGTTCTCCCTATATCCTGTGACGTTGTCCATAATGTCTATGGTCATGATTACCTAGATGGCCGAAACAGCTAGCTGTCTACCGTATTGGGTATGTCTATGGTCATGCTAAACTCTGTGTGTGTGTGTGTGTGTGTCTTTTCCTTTGTGTGTCTTCTTTGTCTCTTTTGTTGTTTTACCTCTTCCTATAGTGGCACGGACATGCAGTTTAATTTTCATTGTGCTGGATGTCTTGAAACCTCTGCACCACAAGCGCCTCATTGAGCATGAACTGGAAGGATTCGGCATTCGGTGAGTGTGAATGTTAGATTAAAAGTGCGATAGCTCGCTCACGATTTTGTTTGCCAGCCCATTCTGTTTCAGGAAAACTACATCTGAAGTCCGTTAGATCTACAGATGGGCATTGTGTGTGTGTGTGTGTGTGTGTGTGTGTGTGTGTGTGTGTGTGTGTGTGTGTGTGTGTGTGTGTGTGTGTGTGTGTGTGTCAGCTAGTTCGGTTGGTGGGTACACTTATGCCTGATTGTGTTGAGTCTGTTGCCAACTGTCTCGGCTACTTGAAGGTGTAATGTTGTACCTGCCACCTTTGTTGGTTCCAGGGTTCATATACTTTCTATTTGAAGTATACATACCTGTTAACCATGGACTGCTTCTGGCTAGATTAACTCTTGTGTAATCAATGGTGCTAGTGAAGCTAATATCAGATCCACTCTGATTTAGCCACCCACACTAGTAGCACGTATTACCTTCACTAGGGGCAGGGGTAACTGCAGTTGGATCCCAGGACGGATACCCTGATGCCGTCAATCCTTTTTCTGCACCTTGTCCTCACCCACTTACTGAGGTGTGGTGAGCCCATAAGTGGGATCATTTTCAAGTCCACCCAGAGTTTTGGGGATTTCAGGAGGTGTCGGCCGTTGGGCGGTTCAATAGCCAATTGAGTCATCTTTCCAAGATTCCTTTTGAGTCTCTCTCCCCTCTCCCGGGGAGACCCACGTGACCAGTTTTGGCAGTGTGCAACAAGTACAAGTGTGTGTGTGTGTGTGTGTGTGTGTGTGTGTGTGTGTGTGTGTGTGTGTGTGTGTGTGTGTGTGTGTGTGTGTGTGTGTGTGTGTGTGTGTCCCATATGGTGCAGCGGTATGTGCAGCGATTTCCAATCGATAGGTTGCGGGTTCGATTCCCGACGATTATGGTCTCACACGTCTTTCTTCTCTTTCTCAGACTGTTCCTGACTTTTCTTTCATTCTCCTGGGTGGTTACCAACAGCCAGTGTATGCCGGAGCGGAGTATGTGGTGTGATGTGTGTGCGGGAAAATAAATTTAAAAAAAAAAAAGACCAAAAAGTAGGGATTCACTGGCCAGAAAAAGCCACTTCATAGCTGTGTGGTGTAGACCAGGCTGAATAGTGGCGGCCAATTCTTCAGCCTTGCAAGCTGTTGAATGGTGCAATCCCAGCACAAGTTGCTATGGCTTCTGCTGTAGCATCGCTATCATCGCCTCTGGCGATGGGCGTCCAATGGTCCAATGGTGTGTGTGTGTGTGTGTGTGTGTAGAGGGGGGGGGCTTTGTCTTCTGTCTGTTTCTCTTTCCCCATCTCTCTTTCTCTCTCTCTCTCTCTCTCCCATGTCTCTCTGGTTGTATTGGAGTTTGTTTCATTTACCAGGCTTTTCTTGTATATCTGTGTCCTCCAGGCTAAACAAGAATCCACCAAACATTGGTTTCCGCAAGAAGGAAAAAGGAGGCATCAACTTGACCAGCACTGTACGTATCAAGATGTTGTGCTGCTGCATCTAGGCATACCATGCCATCTCCTCCACCCCCCCCCCCCCCCCCCCCCTTCTCAGCTTGTGTTCATATTGTATGTGCAGGACTGCCCCTTCTCAGCTTGTGTTCATATAGCATGTGCAGGACTGCCCCTTCTCAGCTTGTGTTCATATAGCATGTGCAGGACTGCCCCTTCTCAGCTTGTGTTCATCTAGCATGTGCAGGACTGCCCCTTCTCAGCTTGTGTTCATCTAGCATGTGCAGGACTGCCCCTTCTCAGCTTGTGTTCATATAGCATGTGCAGGACTGCCCCTTCTCAGCTTGTGTTCATATAGCATATGCAGGACTGCCCCTTCTCAGCTTGTGTTCATATAGCATGTGCAGGACTGCCCCTTCTCAGCTTGTGTTCATATAGCATGTGCAGGACTGCCCCTTCTCAGCTTGTGTTCATCTAGCATGTGCAGGACTGCCCCTTCTCAGCTTGTGTTCATATAGCATGTGCAGGACTGCCCCTTCTCAGCTTGTGTTCATATTGCATGTGCAGGACTGCCCCTTCTCAGCTTGTGTTCATGTAGCATGTGCAGGACTGCCCCTTCTCAGCTTGTGTTCATAATTATAGCATGTGCAGGACTGCCCCTTCTCAGCTTGTGTTCATATTGCATGTGCAGGACTGCCCCTTCTCAGCTTGTGTTCATATAGCATGTGCAGGACTGCTTTTTCTCAGCTTGTGTTCATATAGCATGTGCTGGAGGTTGTCAAGAGTATTTCTCGTGATCAATGGTCTGTCGTAGCCTGGGTACTAGTACTGTGAATGTCATGTTCGGAATACATTGTGATGCCGAAGTTTTGGTGGACTGTATCAGGGCCCTTGTGTTCCCAGCTCAAACTATACACATGCTGGCTTTCATGTTTCCTTGAGCACAGGTGACTCAAACCCACTTGGATACGGACATGGTCAAAGCCATCCTGTCCGAGTACAAGATTCACAATGCCGACGTCACGCTGCGAATGGACGCCACTGACGAAGACCTGATCGACACGATCGAGGGGAACCGCGTCTACATGCCCTGTATCTACGTCCTGAACAAAATCGATCAGATCTCTATCGAGGTACTTGATTAGGAACACCGAGTCTTGCTCTGCAGTACTTTTGTTTCTTTCCTTTTTACAATATACACTTAGATTGTTGAAAGCATGGCAGTCACGGAGGTACCGCTTGTCTGTGCATTTCCAAGGCAAAACCTGGCTGAATCGGGGAATTTCCCGTATACGATGAAAGTGGATGCACGTGTAATGACACTGCTTCAGGAGACTCGAAACGGTCAATATTCTGAGTGGCTAAACCCGATCATCCGGAAAGACTTGCAAGGAGAGGTTGACCACAGTCATGGGTTATGCAACTCAATATGTCATCATATGCCTAGTTGTTATTTCCAAAATAGTTGTGTCCTTTGTCATGCGATGCAGGAATAGACTTCTCCTGGTGTTGCTATGGATACAGGGAAGAGGTTGCCTGTACAGCGTAGTCACAAATGCGTACGACAATAGCCACCGTTACTGTACCACACTGGCAATGACGCTCTTCGCTCCCACTTGTGCCCACCTATAAAACATTACCCATCCTCCTCCTGTCTCTCCACACGCACATTAAGTTCCATTTTCTTCTGTTTTCTTTCCAGGAACTTGACATCATCTACAAAGTGCCCCATTGCGTACCCATCTCAGCTCATCACAAATGGAACTTTGATGATTTGCTAGAAAAGATGTGGAATTATTTGAGTCTTGTCAGAATGTAAGTGTGATGTCGTGGAAAGGGTGGTCTGTTGGTGGTCGTTCTTGTGCAGTCAGTTCTCTCCCTTTCTATTTCCCTCCCCCTGTCTCTTCCATTTCCCTGCGTGCTCTCTCTCTCTCTATCTACAGTCAGACCTCGCTTATCCGGTCCTCTTTTATTCGGATCCCTCGCCATCCGGAAGAAAATCGTTGGTTACCGATTTACGGCATATGCCATGCATACATACAGTATGCGTGTTCGATAATCTGGTTCCCTCGCCTATCCGGATATTTTTGTGGGAAACGGTTGTGTGCGGTTTAGCGAGGTCTGACTGTATCTCCTCAATCTGCGGACAGAATTGTTTCGTCCTTTGTGGACTCATCAGCGCTAGCTATCTCTATATCTCTCTGCCTCTCTTTCTCTCCTCCTTCTCTCCGTTCATTTCCTCCCCAGTGATGCTTTTGATGTGTGTGTGTGTGTGTGTGTGCACGTGTGTGTGTGTGTGCACGTGTGTGTGTGTGTGCACGTGTGTGTGCATGTGTGTGTGTGTGCACGTGTGTGTGTGTGTGTGTGTGTATGTGTGTGCACGTGTGTGTGTGTGTGTGTGTACATGTGTGTGTGTGTTTGTGTGTTCCTGCTGCACAGCTACACTAAGCCTAAAGGACAGCTGCCTGATTACGAATCTCCCGTTGTCTTGCACGGAGGTCATCAAACAGTTGAGGACCTGTGCAACCAACTGCATAAGTCCATCATGAAGGATTTCAAGCAGTGAGTTCTCTTGACCGTTTCGAGTCAACTCTAGAGGTGCTGCTTTGCTTCTTCTGTTTGCTTTGTGTGGGTTTACTGGGTGTTGGCTGCCGTCGTGAGTTCCATTCGGGGAACGGACGCGATAATTTAATTTTTAATTTTTTCTACTAGAGGTGCTGCTGCCAATTTCTTGTTGCTAGTGCTGCAGTGGTTACTGTTACTGTTGCTGCTGTGTCGGCTGATGGGCGAGATTGTGTATGCACAGTAAAGTACTGCAAGAGAACACGCGCCAAATCGTCCTTTCGTGATCGTCCTGCGGAGTTTGTGTCCTGTCTGTAGGTCATGCGACGTGTACCTTGCCAGGGAAGAATTTAATTTCAATTCTTCACCACGCAAAGTCACACTTGAGTAGCAACTTGAAAATGTTCTTAGACTCGGATGGAGAGTCCTTTTTTTCTTCCTGGAAATGTTGTGTAGCAATTTTTCTTGAACTTCATGAATTTCAAAATAGTGAAGAATATATTTTTTTTAGAAGAAAAAAGTGTTAAAGGGGAAGTTAAGGCAAAAATTAAAATTTCACCAGTTGTAGTCTTCGGGGTGCTGAGTCGAATGGTCTTGGTCCGAGAAAGCTGAGACGCTCCGTTCCTACTTGAATCCCAATCGAACTCGCGCACTTCCACCGAAACTGGGTGACTGCGCCCTACTAGATGGGGATTTGTATGCAAAATGTCACTAAAAGCGCCATTTCGTTCTTAGAAAAGCACGGATGACCGCGATTGGCCCATATGTTGTACTCTTTTGGACGCTGAGTCGACTGGTTTTGGTCCGAAAAGGCTGCGATGCAGCGTTCCTCCTTTATTCCCAATCGAACATGGTTGAAGAAGCAGTCACGTGCTCCTGGGTGCCCAAATCACCTGGTCACCACGCCAGCAGGCGACAACTTTCACACCAAGGTTCAACTCGAGTGACAGGACTGCACCCAAAAAAGGTCAAACAGGCTAGTAAGTTGTACCCTGCAGGCACGGTGACCAGGTGACTGGCGTACGCAGGAGCACGTGACCGCTTCTTCAACCATGTTCAATTGGGAATAAAGGAGGACCGCTGCATCGCAGCCTTTTCGGACCAAAACCAGTCGACTCAGCGTCCAAAAGACCACAACATATGGGCCAATCGCGGTCATCCGTGCTTTTATAAGAACGAAATGGCGCTTTTAGTGACATTTTGCATACAAATCCCCATCTAGTAGGGCGCAGTCACCCAGTTTCGGTGGAAGTGCGCGAGTTCGATTGGGATTCAAGTAGGAAGGGAGCGTCTCAGCTTCCTCGGACCACGACCATTCGACTCAGCACCCCGAAGACTACAACTGGTGAAATTTTAATTTTTGCCTTAACTTCCCCTTTAACGATGTCACCTTGCATGAGACTCCGTGTGTGACATTTCAACATACGGAATGATCATTGAGACATCAATTGCTATCAAATGTCAGGTTCATCATGCTTCCTCTTGCATGGACCGTAGGGGGCAACTTCAGTTCGTCGAGGCCGCTGTGCGAACGGAACGTGTCACTGATGCATCTGGTTTAGGCTGCGTTCGTTTTTAGCTACCTGGTAGAGTAGAGTCACTCTACCGATAGAGGTAGATGGTAGAGGCAAGTGCACAAACGCTGTTCTACCGGATTCTGTAGTTTACACGATGCGTACGTGAAATGTTTCTTTTTTGTATGGAGTTCTGTACAAATCCTTGATCTTGCTGGAAATCCCGTAGCTCTACCAACTTCTACCGGATTCTACCAACTTTTTCCTGGTAGAGCCGGTAGAATCTACCTTTTTGAGTAGAATTTTTTTCAAAAAAACAAACACCTCTACCGAAAGAAACAGTTTCTACCCAAACCTGTAGATCAAAAACAAACGCCCCCTTAAACTCCGAGAGAGAGATGGACCATAACGCTGATTCTCATTAGGTTATCAAGTGTTAGCAAGCATACGTGCAAACACTCTGAAGGCATCGCCCGCCAAATACAAAGGCAGATGCTTCATGTGGACATCCTCGTCTGCCCCTCCTTTGGCAGTGGCCAAATTTAACAACTTTGCTCAGAACTCTTGTAGGTCATTTCCATCTTTGCCGGGAAACGGCTGGAAAAGGTTACTCAACGATGTCCCTTGGACATCAGGTGATCGGCGAACGGCTGAAGGCCGGTCGCGGTTTTGGCGCAGACGGAACAGCTAAACAACATCGTTGTTGGTTGGTTGAATGGGACTGATCAAGGTGGATCCAATCACTTTTATCCCCGCCCAGTTGTTTGATGTTCGTTGGTGGAAACTTAGACTTGATTCATTCGAATCAGTACTCCACGAACGCACAGTAAGAATGTGCATTACGAACTCACGACTCACACAGATAAATAAAATACTACGCTACTCCGAAAAGCCCTACTCTGTCCCGACTCTTTCCCTGCTCGCCCAACCTTGATCAGGTGGAACGGGCTTTCAGCTCAATGTGTCGGATCACGACCGACTGGCGGCAAAGTGGCAGCTCGGGGAAAGGGCATCGTGCGTCCAGTCACTGAGGTGCTCCTGCATTAAAGCCTGGCAAAAGTGTCTCGCGAAATGCTCTTTTGGATTGCGTAAATCTCTCTCTCTCCCTTGGCCTCCATGGATGCAAGTTCAGCGGCATACGCCAAAACAAACAGCCCGCAATCGGCGCCACCAATCTGCTTTTGCAGCACCATGTACAAGAAGTGTATAGAGTATTCACCTCCCCCGTACAGAGTGAACAGTGCCTTGCTCAAGTCTCTTTCTGCAGTGCGACACCTGTCGAGGCTGTCGAAGACAACAACTTTACCAAAAGGACCATCACGGCCACCCCGGAAGGTGCACACCCAGTGGTCACCCTTGTTCCCTTGGCCTCCATGGATGCAAGTTCAGCGGTATATATATATATATAGCATACGCCAAAACAAACAGCCCGCAATCGGCGCTACCAATCTGCTTTTGCAGCACCATGTACAAGAAGTGTATAGAGTATTCACCTCCCCCGTACAGAGTGAACAGTGCCTTGCTCAAGTCTCTTTCTGCAGTGCGACACCTGTCGAGGCTGTCGAAGACAACAACTTTACCAAAAGGACCATCACGGCCACCCCGGAAGGTGCACACCCAGTGGTCACCCTTGTTCCCTTGGCCTCCATGGATGCAAGTTCAGCGGTATATATATATATAGCATACGCCAAAACAAACAGCCCGCAATCGGCGCCACCAATCTGCTTTTGCAGCACCATGTACAAGAAGTGTATAGAGTATTCACCTCCCCCGTACAGAGTGAACAGTGCCTTGCTCAAGTCTCTTTCTGCAGTGCGACACCTGTCGAGGCTGTCGAAGACAACAACTTTACCAAAAGGACCATCACGGCCACCCCGGAAGGTGCACACCCAGTGGTCACCCTTGTTGTGGAACCCTCAGCAGTGCGTCCTTGTCATCGTCAGCAGCATGACCCGCCAAAGTGTACAGCCTCTGTAAGTCAGCTACGTAGGCGTCGAATAAACCACGTTCAGAGACTCCAAACTCCCGGGTTTCGGCACCAGGTTGTTACGGAATCTCAGCCATTCCGTTCCCCGGGACGCAGGACACAAAGGACAAAACTAGTTTGGTTTACATTATATATTTGACATGACGGAAATTCAAGATTTCACTGAAAGGGACGAACAAGAAGACTGACGAAAGGACTGTCGACTACAAAATCGCGCATGCTCATATCACACATGCACGCGACTAGACGAGACAGTTTGGGGAATGCCATCACACAGGAAAACAACACATCATTTCATAACACCCTCAACATGCACGACCTGTATGGTGTAATCAGAGATGGCCTGTACAGCCCCGGGTACCTTAAGTAGTGCGGGAGGTAAAAGCCCACCTATGTCTGGGTATTCTGCTATGAGCAGAGTGCAAGAAGAGTTGATCACTCCATCGCTCACCATGCTACTGCCACACAAATGTGACCGATCTTCCATGGAAAGGCCATCCATGGGAGATTCGTGTGAATCTGCCTCTTCCTCTTGAGAAAGATCCGCTTCATCGGAAGCTTGTGTCTCTCCACAATCCATGGAGGCTTCATGGGGCTCATTGTTCTCCTGGTTGCCACAAGTGGTGCCTTTGTGGCAAGCAGTACACAAAGTTCACCAGCAAGGAAGCAACGACATTTCTTGCTTGTGCACCAACCCTTTGACTTGCACTGGCATGATATTGCTGGCCGTGATGTGGACGATGTTCCGCGATTAAAATGCCTGCAGGCCTCTCTCAAGGAAACCTTGGGACATGCAGACCAACCTAGGGTGGTGACGCCTACCTCTCCCTGGAAAAGCTCATGGTCATCCACCCGGTCACTGCTGCTGCTGGCCCCGGTGATCAGATGTTTCAAAAGCAGTGGCTTGAAATGCTCTATGACACCTGGTACCTCATCAGCACCAAAGGAGTCTCGGGAGCCGTTGCTGGGCCATGCTGTTACATCCAGGATCTTGACACCCTATATCACGGCTGAGGACTGGAGGTCATCAAACCGATTTCTCAAGCAGGTGGAAGCTGAGTTGACGTACGTGGAACGATTGGTGTGAAAGGCATCGATTACATTCTGTCGAACGGCAGTGAGCTTTACACAGCAGAATTCTGCACTATCTTCATCACAATTTACGGACTCGACAAACTTAGCCAGTTCCACTGCTAGGTCCAGAGCTTCATTCTGGCGGCTCACCAATGATGCCCATAAACGACTTCAGCTTGGCAATACAGAATGCCAGGTCCACTGAATTAGCCTGGAGTGAACAGGAAAAGCTGGCCAGCGGGTTAAAAAGACACTCGTAAAACAGTATATGCAGCACGAACTCGTATGATGTTCGCTTCTTGCAGTAGCCATTGAATCGGGTCTTGTCAACAGGCTTCGGGTTGGACTCATCCGACGACCTGGACTTGAGGTGTGCTTCGATGACTGAATAGCCCCATGAAGAAGGGTGCTCAGGGCACCCGACTTTTGTTGCAGCCATCTTGCTCCACTGGCCTTGTCGGCTTTGAGAATGCTCTCAACCATCGACTCGGCTAAGTGCTGGAGCTCACGCAATCTCTTTGGGCTCTCACCGTACAAACTTATTTCCACTCTGCCTTTTCCTTTCCCTGGCTGTACAATCAAGGTGGGGCGTTCTCGCGCTACTTTGCACTCTACTGTAAAGCTGTGTTCACAACTGGCGCATGTACGCGTGAAACCACGCGTTTGTGCATATTTTTGCTGGCTTTTGGGGCGCCATGCGTACGGAAACGCGCCGAAATGGAAATTCCAACATGTTGGAATTTTCAGCGCGTATCAGCGTACATGCCAGTCACTTTGACTGGCAGGGTCAAAAAATTAGTACTCGAAGGTACTAGGTGTCGCACGCGCTAAATATGACTCGGATTGCTGTTTTTTTGTGAAAGCCTGAGCGCGCGTTCGGGCACGCATGAACCGCAAGCGTGCCGCGTACACTCGCCAGTTGTGAACACAGCTTTAGTCAACAAATATTCGGCGCATGTTTATTTTCGGCCTGGCCATGTTTTGCCGAAAATTTGTTTTGCAAGGTTCAGTGTGACAGTGTATACAGGCGGCAGCAGTACAGGCCGAAAATTTGATGCGGCCGAAATGGGTATTACTATTAGCCCTGGGAGGCCGAGATTTGGATGGGCCGAAAATTTGTACACTTACAGTATTGTACCGTATTTTCTCTAATAAAAGCCCAGGTCTCCAATAATAGCCCAGTCTCCAATAATGACCCGGGGTGAGGGTGGTTTGAAATAATAAGAGCACCGTCTCCAATAGTAGCGCCGGTCGCAATTGGAGTATGCAACAAGTATATTGACTGCATATAAAACAGCAGTACAACATACCAAGAACATATTTGTAAGGAGGTTTTCGGTCTACTGCTTCCTTCCCGGCGCCAATGCTATTGTGAAACATCTGTTTTGACAATATTCCTGAGTTTAGGGGTGAAAATCAGTCTTGATATGGTCAGTTTATGCCTGTATAGACTGGAGTTGGCTTGATAGGTGACAATTGAAAAAATAAGAGCCCAGTCTCCAATAATAGCCCAGTCTCTAATAGTAGTGCGGATAGAGCTGTCACTGAAAAAATAAGAACCCCGGGCTCTTATTAGAGAAAATACGGTATGCCTAAACTGGAGGAGGGGGAGCATTATTTGCTTTATCCTTGCTGTTCTCTTCTAAAACGGGAGCGGTTAATAAGGAAAATCCATTCCTTGGTCGCATGGATATGGTTCTAGATCTTTTCAGCTGCCTTTGATGCGGTGCCATTCGACCTTGAGGTTGAGCAACCTGACATGAATGTGTTTGGTTATGATTAGTTTACTGAGGTCCCAAACTCTCTGTTTGCGTGTGTGTGCGCGCGCGCGCGTGTGTGTGTACGTGTGTGCGTGTGTTTTGCTAACTCTTTACTAGTGCGCTGGTATGGGGGTCCTCTGTCAAGCACAACCCACAGAAGGTTGGACGGGAACATTACCTGAACGATGAAGATGTTGTTCAAATTGTCAAAAAGTAAGAAACTCTCTCTCTCTCTCTCTCTCTCTCTCTCTCTCTCTCTCTCTCTCTCTCTCTCTCTCTCTCTCTCTCTCTCTCTCAATATATGTATGCCTTGGTTGCACGGTCAACATCCAGATGTGAGTCGACTCGATTTTGAAACATTCTGGAATATACCAGTGCTACAGTAATCATGGCGATGCCAAAGTAGCCGACTCGGCAGCTTTCTTTTGTGTGGCCAGTTGGAAGTCCTATTCGCCACATGCTTGCCTCTATACTCTCTTTTTTGAATGCTGTTCACAGTCAGTGCCACTCCTCCACTCATGATTTTTTTACCAAGAGTACATGAAATCCAGAATGTGCTGCTCGAAATGGGTTGCTGTCAGGACGGATTTCCTGGATTACACCATTTTAGTGATGAAGTGTGTTGAAGCAGGATAAGGCCATTGCACGTTCCCGAGTATGGAATGTATGAGTAATGCATGTGAGTACGCTGATATCAGCAATGCACTGTCCACCACCCCACATAACCATTCCCAGGTGCCTGTGTGGGGTGTTATGTGAGTACGCTGACATCAGCAATGCACTGTCCACCACACCACATAACCATTCCCAAGTGCCTGTGTGGGGTGTTATGTGAGTACGCTGACATCAGCAATGCACTGTCCACCACCCCACATAACCATTCCCAGGTGCCCGTGTGGGTGTTATGTGAGTACGCTGATATCAGCAATGCACTGTCCACCACCCCACATAACCATTCCCAGGTGCCTGTGTGGGGTGTTATGTGAGTACGCTGATATCAGCAATGCACTGTCCACCACCCCACATAACCATTCCCAGGTGCCTGTGTGGGGTGTTATGTGAGTACGCTGGGATCAGCAATGCACTGTTCAACGCCCCACACAATCATTCCCAGGTGCCTGTGTGGGGTGTTATGTGAGTACGCTGGGATCAGCAGTGCACTGTTCAACGCCCCACACAATCATTCCCAGGTGCCTGTGTGGGGTATTATTTGAGTACGCTGGGATCAGCAATGCACTGTTCAACGCCCCACACAATCATTCCCAGGTGCCTGTGTGGGGTGTTGGTGGTGCTAACTACGTCATTGCGCAATGGGCTTATTCAAGCAGGTATCCTGCTGCACAACTGCAGCTGAGTCGTATGCACTACACCGCTTCCCGCCGCTTGTCTGCATCGACTTTGATGTAATCTAAGAATTTCGGCGTGACGGACACGCTGTGTTGGAAAAGTCACAAGCTGCAAGCTCTGGATTTCATGTACTCTTGCTTGACTCACACCACAGGCCACCACCTCCTCCTCTCTCATGGTTTTGACTGACAACATAGCGTGTGTGTGTTTGTGTGTGTGTGCGTGTGTGTGTGCGTGTGCGTGCGTGTGTGTGTGTGTGTTTGTCTGTGTATGTGTACATGAATTTGTATCTTGTCTTTACAGGATTTGAGCTGACCTGATCATAGTTTCCAGTTTCTTGCCGGAGTGTTGTGCGGACCTCACGCTCTCCCCCATGCAACCTGGCTGGCCAGGTTGTGACTTACAAGGCAGCTTTACTGCCGGATATATGTGTCCTCTTGCCTATTGCTACTTTGCACATCTTGAGAGCGCACCATGTGCTTGTTCGGTTCTAGTTGGTGCAATGACAGCTGATGACCTGTGCTGTTTGGTTAGCTTCGCCGTCACGCGTCGTCGTTGTTGCTTCTCCAGTCGCGCTCGCCTCCTGGACAACGTCGACCTTTGAATATGCGCGCGTGTCCGGCGTACAGCTGAGTGGAACGCTTATTGTTTTTTTTTATGCTGTGTATGTGCTCCTGCTGCTGCTGCCGCTGCCGCTTACATCCCTGTGGGCTGCGCTGCTATCGCTACTGCTGTGTACATTGCTGGTTAGAATGTGTTTGATGCGTGTACTGTCTGTTCTCTGACAGGGAGGAGGAGGGAGCTTTACGGCTCAGCGCTGCGCTGGCAAGTCCTCGACTTAGTCATCTTTTGTTGAGAATATTTTTTGGACTGTGTACAGTTTTTTTCCTTGCAGTTAATTTGAGACAACCGTACACCTAGGAGTTTATTTAGTATCCGCCGCTGGCGCGCTGTAGCAGCTGCTGGGAAGTAAAGTTTGCTGTCGTCTGTGCCGTCCTCTCTCTCTCTCTCTCTCTCTCTCTCTCTCTCTCTCTCTCTCTCTCTCTCTCTCTCTCTCTCTCTCTCTCTCTCTCTCTCTCTCTCTCTCCCTCCCCGGTCGCAGGCCTGACCCTGCTTATCGGGGGGGGGGGGGGGGGTTGCTGTGAGCGGCAGAATACGGCTGTGTGGGTTGGCAGCATGCCGTGCAGCACTAAAGCTCAAACGTGCATTGCCGCGCCACCGAGCAGCTCCTTTCAACTGGCTTAAATTTGTGTTCCTCTGCGCTGCAAAGCATCCGCTCACCGCCCTCCTCACATCTCTGATTACCTTTATGCTCCTGTCTAATGTGTATCTGCAGCTATGCTGTGTGTATATTATTATAGTTATATTTTTATTCGTTTGCTTGCCTGTCACATCTGTGCCAAGTCTTTGTGCAATGTGTACTAACATTATTGATGCTCTTCAGAGTCAACCCGTGCTGGACTGGGACGTGTGGATCTCTTGAAAATTCTACTTTATTTAAAAGATAAGCTCCAGAGTCCATGTGGACGCGGCGGACTCTTTGCTGTCGACGTGATCTCTATTGTGCTTGGGAGTTGTGATAGAACTTGTGACCATCACCAAGAGTTATGAACTCTTGCCGTCACTTACCCTTGATTCCTGTGTGCGCTCAGAAAGCTCTGTCCTGAGATGGCCCAGACCGTTCTTTCTTGTGCATGAAGACAAGAGTACATAAACATCCGATAAAAATCAATCAATCAATAAAGTAAGTTGAATAAACAAAACAGCCAAAATTCTGTTTACGTTTCCACACACACACACACCACACACACACACACCACACACACACACACACACAATACGCAATGCATGCTTGGCTGCGCTTGCCACTCGAGCGCGCGTTCATCATTGTTCATCATGGTTCATGGCGGCCTGAACTTTGAAGCATGCATGCAGTGGTCTGTGGAGTGACCAGGAATGGATACCTGGTTCACTAGTCGTCAACGTAAGAAAGTGTGAACAAGCCATGCATGCATGCAAGGAAGGACCTGCATGCAGCTCAGAGAGTATCGTATTTACGACTCCCTGGCAAGGACTTCGTTGTTGCACCATGGGGGGGGGGGGGGGTACTAAAAACCTCGGTTTTTAGTACTACAAAATTAGTACAGTAGTTGTCTCCCCGTTGAAAACTGCATGCAGTGCACTACATGTATGCGGTCATGTACGTAGATCTACGTACTGCTTGTGTATATAGTGTAGCTTCGTAGGTACGCACGCAAACTTGTTGAAAAAGAGGACTTTCGAAAAAATTATTCCAAAGCAAGCAGGAGCTTCAAAAAATTAGAATGTTTGTTGTGTGGGTGATGTTTCTTCATCATCGGATGGGTATTATGCTTACAGTTCTGGTTATGGAAAGCTAGTGTCTCTGCTGCCTGAAAGGAGAGAGAGATAGAATCGATACCTATGTCGCAAGCACCGAAAAACACTGTCACTAGGGATGCGCCTCGTATGTATCTGCTGAAATGCAAATGTTTATTTGCCCCAGATTTACCATTGATTGTTGGTATTTTGGTTTCTGTTCTTCCTTGGATACCTTTTACTTCCAGGTCAGTATCAGTGCTATAAGCTTCTGGTGGATCCAGCAATTGTAGGCAAGGGGCGTGCAAAGGCGTATCGCTATGACGGCAAGCCACCCAGTGGGGTAAGAACTCACTGTGGCTGTTGACAGCTCAGCTGATCACGAATTGGGTTACTGAGTGTTGGCAATTTGCCTTTCTCTGCCTGTTGTTTTCCCAGCATCCTTCTGTTCAGGTTACTGATCCGCGTACCAGCTTGTTCAAGACTTCTCTAGCTAACGACCATGCCACGCTTCCTGTCCCACGTTTCAAGGTACAGCCCCTTTTGGGATTTCTTCCTCCAATATTTTGCTGTCAATTTAGTGATGGGATTTGAATTGGGAAGATCAATTTGTTCATTCTTCTGAAAGGCAGAGTGCAGCCGGTTGTGACTGGTAATTTTCTTCTTGGCTACTTAAAGTCTTTCCATCTCGGAGAAGTGATTGAATTTGAATTCCTGATACATTATTTGCGATCACCACCACGATTTTGTTCAGGGATGTCAATTCCTTTTTTCTGGCATTAATTCGGTTGTAGAGCTTTAAGGGGACGTAATCCCAAGTGAAGCGTGTCCTTCAACAAGGTGCACTTGGCACTATGGCAAACTGGTCCAGGTCGCAGCAGTTCGACTGTGCTGCCGTCGCGTTGAAAGTAGAAACGCATGCGATGTTAACCAGTGCTGATCACATTCACATGGATAGTTCTCATTGTGTCAGCAAAACGCATTCCTCATCTCAACCATAGTCAGGGGTGGATCGGGGGGGGGGGGGGGGGGGGGATTCCGTGGATTCCATGGAACCCCCTAAATGTCGCAAGCGTAGTACTGGAAACCCTATGCATGTGCACGTATCAGCAAGAGTACATGAGACCCAGAGTGTGCAGCTCGGATGGGTTGCTGTCACGGTGACATTTCGTGATTACATCATTTTTAGTGATGCAGTGCGTACAAGCAGGATTCAAGCAGGTCTCTTTCTGCACAACTGCAGCTCAGTTGTACGCTCTACGCCATTTCCTGCCTCAGATCTGCGCCAAATATGATGTAATCACGGAATTCCACCGTGACAGACACCCATAGTAGAAAAGGCCCCAAGCTGCATACTCTGGGTTTCATGTACTCTTGGTATCAGCTATTCAGTTTTTGAGGTTTGGGCTAAACAGAACCCCCTGTAGCGGTCTCTGGATCCGCCCCTGACAGTCACTGTCATCTATGCCACCTGCTTTCCTGTTGTTGCAGTTTGACCGGCACAGCGTCGGGACGCCTGTGGCCAGGGATGTGTTTCTCAGCGGCCTTAATGACAATGCCAACGAGAAGTTCTTGCGCGGACTTTGCCAGGGCTATGGCGAGATTGAGAAGGTCCGTATTTATCGCCATCCGGACTCCAAGAAACATCTTGGGCTTGCTAAGATCGGCTACATGTATCCGAGCTGTGCGAGGAAGGCTGCCTCGGCGCTCCAAGGCCGCTCAGTGATGGGGAATACCGTGACTGCTGTCCTGGATGCTAAGGGTAGGACAGTACGTGTGTGTGTGTGGGGGGGGGGGGGGTTGTGTGTGTGTAAGAGGGAGGGGGGGGGGGGGGGAGGTGTGCTGTGTGGGTGGGACAGAGATGGGCGTCCGTCCGTACTGTATAGATAGTAGATACCCAACTTGTTAGCTGGTGCGTATTCACACCAACACAGAAGCTTTGTGCCTGCGTACGGCCATCAGTAAACCCAGCGCACAGACAGTGCTGTACTACTGTCCTGCATATCATTACAGCAACTCACATGCACAATTACCACTGGAAAATGCACTGAGTCCAATGGTGAAGGTCCCAAGTTGATCGGAGCGTCCGTTCCCGAGTTACACCAGCTTGAAGTTTGCACTGAATTTGGTGACATCATGATGACGTCATCGACTTGCCCAGGCTTGGCCGGATGTATGACGTCACAGAGATAGAATTTGTATGGGAGTAGATGAGGAAATTTCAGTATTTTGGCTCTCCATTACCCCAAAGAAGTCGAATGTTTTCACACTTCGGTATGGGACATATGGCACCCTACCAGCATCCCGACTGGAAACAAATTCTAGTACCGTATATCAGCGTCTTTAAAGCCATGGCCTTATTCGAAACACCGCTGCTTTCCTAGCTATTTTAGATGCTACATGACTCGAGTACCCACTACGGCATTCAATTAAAGTCAAAGTCCACACAGAAATTTCAATCTAAATCCACCTGTTCACCCTTCCTGCTGGGCTGTAAGTTTGTTAGCATAGTACTTATTCCTTCATTTTTTCGTTGTTTCATTCTGTTGCTCTACAGGGGAGGAATCGCGCAAAGCCGTTCAAGCGGCCATCAACCCCAAGCCTGCACCGGACAACAGTGCGAGTAGTGCTGCTGGCACTCGTGTCGGCCTATCTCCAACCACTCCACTGCCGGGGACTACCTTTTCTATGCCGGCGTTCCCGACTAGCGGCGCCGCCGTGAATGTGCTGCCGGCATCGTCCACCGTGCTCCTTCAAAACTTCCACCAGCAGCAGCAGCAGCAGCAGCAAGGGAGTATTATTCTCGCTCCCGGCTCTGCGCTGCCCGTGCATGCCGCTACTGGTACTGCTGGTGCAATGCCGGTGGGCTCATCAGCTCCCGCTGGCACGCTGATCAACGGCGGTGCTACTGGGTTCGTTGGCGGCATGACAATGCTCAGTATTGACGGGCATAGCGTGGTGGTGCAGACGCCAGTGCCAGCTGCTGCCGGTGGTGCTCCAGTGCTTACCGCCAACCCATCCGCCACCACCACCGCCGCCGTTCTGTCAGCATTCCCGGGGTCGTCCGGCGGCGCTCTTGCCCCGGGCGGTGGTCAGTTTGTACTGGCCATGGCGCCGGGTAGTGCTGGCCCAGCAGCGGTAGTGCCTGCCACCGCGGCGACGACGGCCAGTGCTGTAAAGACGTACGGCGAGGTATCGTCATCCACTAGCACTAGCAACAGTGCCGGCGGCGGCGGCGCTCACACTCACTCAAGATCAGCTGGAGGATCACGGACAGGCTCGCCGCGGTCAGGGGCCACTGAGCATCACAGTCGTCACCATCGGCATCGAGATCATCGCGAGCATCGTGATCACCAGCGTGACCATCATCACCACCGAGAGTCTCCACCGCCGCCATCGTCCTCCAGTCGGCACACCGGGCGTGGCCGGCAGCATCACCATGACGACGCGCATTCGCATCATCGTCGTCGTGGTGATCCGCCGCCTCCGTCGAGCAGCGGCAGCTCGGCCAATCAACGGTCGCATGACAGACAGCACGACAGGTCGTCACGCGATCGGGAGCACAACTCGCGCTCTCCTCCACCTTCGTCACAGCACCACCGGTCGTCACGGGGGGCAACGGAAAGCCGGCCATCGTCGTCAACCTCACGCCTGCGTAGTCCCACAGCATCAACGTCAAGTAGTAGTCGCTCCGCAAATGGTAGCAGCGGCAGCGCTGGACAAAGCCGGCAGCAGCAGCAGCATCGCCGTCGCAACTCTTCACCGGAACGTTCACCGCCAGTGTCGCGGCGCTCTCACGACTCCCACCGCTCAACACCGCCGCCATCGTCGTCATCTCACCACCGTCATCGCTCACCCTTGTCTCGCGGCAGTGAGCGTGGCGGCAGTGCCTGTAGCAAGCCACACCGCTCACGCTCTGGCAGTGGCGACAAGCCATTGGGAACGGACTCAGCCAAGGCCTCCACTACGGCGCCGGGGACACCCGCCGCACCCAACCAGGGTCTCGTGGAGCCGGTGTCTCCGCCGTCGCCGGTTGCCGACCCGGTGGAGTCGCTCTCGCAGCTGCAGCGTATCAACTCTCTGCTGGCTGAAGCGCGACAGGGAGCAGTGCCCGGTGTGACGGCCGTGCGAGAGATCCTCTCTGGTGGCGGTGCCACTGGTGTGTCGTCCGCATCACCCGCTGACGAGGCTGCAGCTGATGTCCCTGCTGCCAACGCCGTTAGTCCGCTAATGGTGAGTACGAGTGGTGGTGACATTGACCAGAGTGGCAGCGTACCCACTACAGGCACAGGGCCAGCGCCGTCCGCCGCTGCTGGTTCACTGCCGCTCGCATCCTCCTCGCTGCCGTCCGTGGCAACCTGCACAGCAGCATCGCTAGCGGCACCGGTTGCTAACGGCGGCGGGGCTTGTTCTCCGTCACCCCCGTCGTCCGCCTCCACCTGTGGCCGGCGCCTGTCCCGTGACCTGGACCTCAACTCGCCGGCGCTGTCGCAAAGCAGCGGCTACGGTAGCGGTGAAACGCCCAGTGCCGTCGAGAAAACCCCCGCGGCAACCCTGCCACCGCCGCCGCCACCCCCAACGACAGCCGTGCCGCTACCAACGCTGATCGACAATATATCACCGGTATCGTCGCCAGAGCAGCCGCCGCTGCCCGACGACATGCCACCGTTGCCACCCAACTCCGCGCCGGCCAGTCCGCTGCCACCACCGCCGCCGCCACCCGCCGACACGTCGGCGGACATGGAGATGTCTTCGGACGAGGACAGCCCGCCGGGGAAGGCACGCAAGGAGGCCCCGCAGATCACGATGCCCGGCAGTGGCGGTGGTACACCGCTGATTCCACCACCGCCTCTCCATCACCTCAGTGTGCCCCCGCCACCATTCATGCAGTCCGGAGTGCGGCATCCACCACCACCTATGCCCGGTGGCTTCATGCCGATCGGGTTTGGGCCGCCTCCACCGCCGGGTACAAGCCACATGATGCCACCTCCCCCGATCAACAACAACAGCAACTCTGGCAACAACACTAGCAGCAGCAATAGAGCAAGCAGAAACAGCGGCGGCAGTGGTGGCGGCGGACTCCAGAACACTCCGCGCTCTCCCGCCGTGCCCAAACCGGACGCGTCCAGTGCTGCTAGCTTCAGCGGCAGCGGCAGCTTAACTGCCAAGCTGGTACGGCGCCTGCCGGTGGCCTCTGAGCTTGCGCCCATCCTGGGCAACATGGTGATCACGGCCGGTGCCCTGCTCAAGTACAACGACTGCGTGGCGCAGGAGCAGAAGGTGCTGCTGGACCAGCGTCGCAGCAGCAGCAGCAACAGCAGCTCTGCCGCCGCCATGTCCAGCTGCTCCAGCCTGGCGGCGGTGCAGGAGGAGCGCGTACGCGAGATCCTGCGCCAGGGCGAGCTCCTGCAGGCCGAGCAGCAAAGCATTCTGGACGCCGTGCGCGACAGCCTGCGCAAGGCCAACAAGTCGCCGACGCTACCCGACGAGCGAGAGCTTGCCTGCCAGCGCTCCGACCTGGTGGCCAAGAAAGTGCAAGCGCTTCTCAGCACGGAGTTGAAGGAGGTGCTGAAGAAAGACATACGCCGGAAGTTGGTCGAGGGCACTGCGTTCCGTATGCTCACCGACTGGCAAGCCAAGAAGAAGACGGAGGCTGCCGAAGCCATGCTGAACAAGGTAAGGCTTGAAAGTCTGTCTGCCTCCTTGTTTCTCTCTCTCTCTCTCTCTGTCTGTCTCTTTCTTGCATGCATATTCGGCCAGGCGGTAGGTGTTACGCTATGTTATGTTATCTTTGTTTTTACTTCACCCTAGGTACAGGCATTGCTGCCTTCTTGGCAGTTCTTGCTTCGGATCATGCATGCCGCCACAGCTCCAAGGCTATGATTAAAACGTACAGTTGCGCTCACTGAAATCCGACCCAAAGTGCATACCGTACTCGCGCGATTAGAGCCCTCTCTTGAATAGTGCCCTATCTCGAATAGTGTGCCAGTGAAAAATAAAGCCCTCTCTTGAATAGTGCCCCCCCCCCCCCCCCCCGGTCTTGTAGCCAAGACCATGTGCAAGTTTGGTGTTCTTTTGCTAATGTTCTTGGCCATTGCTTTGCACTGGTGTTTTCAGGAACAAAATCGCAGGTCTTGTTCCTGTTTCTGTGGAGTCGTGAGTGTTTACAGGACACTTTAGGCTCTGTTTTTCTTTGTTTTATGCTGGATGACGCAAATGTACCAGCAATAAAAATAGTGCCCTCTCTTGAATACTGCCCCATCTGTGATTGACATTGAAAAAATAGTGCCCCAGGGGCACTAATCGCGCGAGTACGGTAACTGGCGTCCTGGCCCAGTTCCGAGTACATCACTGGTCATGCACATGCATACATGTATACGTTTAGCTGTGTTCGTACCACTTGCAGGGCGTCAAGGGCCGTGCGAGTTCAGGGCGCCAGATACGCAATTTTGGGTCGGATTTCATCGGGCACAGCTGTATGGAGAGCTGTTTGTTTTCACAGCACACGTCCTTTATTTGTATCAAAACGAGTGTTAATTTGTTTTGTCTTTGGTGCTGCTGCTGCTGCTGTGGGGGAGGGGTGGCCGTGATATTCTAGTGTCAGTGTGCGAGTGCACGCAAGCACTTGCTATCTTGCATTCCCTCATGGCTTACTCTCTGTTGCCGATAATCTCTCTGACACTTGCAGGCCGGCAAGTCGTCGCAAGCCCCGGCGGTGGCTACAACCCTGTCCTCCAGTGACACACCATCGTCGTCGGCAGCCACCACCACCACCACCACAGCCGCAGCAGCAGCAGCAGCAGCAACCTCGAGTTTGGCAGCTACAGTGGCAGCACCCACGTCGAATAGTTTGGCAGGGACGGTATCTTTGCGCGTCCGTGGCTGCAGGGTGTCCGTGAATGCCCAGGGACGAGTCAACCATAGTACAAGTAGGTCCTGGCATGCGTTGTTGCTTGTGTTCGCTGTGTGCTGCTCATGCTGACCACGTATGGTTCTAGGTTGTTGTCGATGTGTCCCGTTATCCTCTGTGTCCGTGTCTCTCTCTCCCCCTCTCTCTTTTCTCTCTCTATCTCTCTGTCTCTGTCTCTCTCTCTCTCTCTCTCTCTCTCTCTCTCTCTCTCTCTCTCTCTCCGCGCATTTTACTTCTCGCTGTATTGAACGATACATCATTGGAAAGCTAGGTTCAATGGCTTTCCAATGAGCCGTGATATGTTGAATAGAAGTAGGGAGACCGAAGCTCGAGCAGTTTGTACTTGTACAGCCGTCTATGCTTTTTTCTTCTACATGCTCCTTGTACGTGACAAGTTGTCTCGTCGCTGACACTGGAAGGGCTAATGATGCGACGATTCCATGACTTCTTCAGAATGCTGATGATAAGAGATAGGGATGGGAAGGCAAGTTGTGTGATTATTTTTCAAGGAGCGAAAATAGGGCATGATAAGCATGAAGCAAAATTATAACAAATGTGACACCATTAGCTGCTCGACTTAGAACTAAGAACATGGAGAAGCAACTGCAAGGGCACCCAGCAGAGCAGTGATCAGGTGAGAAACAGCAGCAGTAATTGAATAGCAGCAGCAGCAAGAGGCGAATACCAGTGTCATCGTGTGTGTGTGTGTGTGTGTGTGTGTGCACGTGTCTGTGTGTGTGTGTGTGTGTGTGCACGTGTGTCTGTGTGAGTTCTGTCGCCTCTTGCTGATACTTTTCAACCATCGCTGCTGTTTCTCACCTTGTCACTATCTTGCTTGGTGTCTTGGCTTCTCTGTGTTCTTGTATCTGCGGTGTGCATCTTTTGCTGTCGCATTTGTTACAATTTTTACTTTGCGCTTATTCATGCCCTATTTTACGCTCCCTGCTAATCATCACACCGACTTAGTGCTTTCGCCTCCTCTGTAATAAGTGCGCCCTCCCTCACCTATCATCATCAGAGTGCTTTTATCTACTGTTGCTCTTATTCTGTGCTTTGTCTATCTACTTTTGCGTTTAGTGAATCCTTGTTGTGACCTTTGCGTGTTTCTCAGGTGTTGGAAAGCTGAGCTGTTGCTGGATGGTCTGTGTATCTGTCTGTCTGTCTGTCTACAACGATATATAACCGGACCACACAACAGGAGCATGACGGATACTGATAGATTTAGCGTTTCGACAGTTCAATGTCTTCCTGTACTGTGGTCCGGCTATCTGTTGTTGTATTTTATGGATCCCTTGCCGGAGCCTTTGCTGGTACCTCATTGTGAATAGTCAAGCTTTTGCTGAATTGTCTGTCTGTCTGTTTTGTCGGTCTGCGAACGTACTTGTTTGATTTCAGTTGCCCCGCTGCCCAAGTTTCAGAAGAAGGCCGGAGCGGCAAACGTCTCGATTGGCA